ATGTTAACAAACGTAGCGCAATGCCCTCCTTTGGTGTTTCAAGACATGCTTTAACAATTTAATTTAGTATGTAGATTGTTATAGATATATATATGAATAAAACATAGAGATTTTACATAAGAGTACTTTTAAATAAATCAATTAAATAATTAAATTTGATCTGATAAGCATTAATTTTCAATGTAATCTTATAAATTTAGCTTTTAATAAAAGATGTTTGCGCAGAACGACATTAATTAGTCGTTACATACTTATTCTTTATTAAGTAAAATGGCCTCTGTTTTTTTTTCTTAATAATAATATTGATTCATAACATAATTTAGACGATGCAAAAGATTTATGATTTACCTAAATTGACACATCACACCTTATAAGAATAATTTTTTTTTTTTAGTCAGGCTGGATCACAAATTAATGGGTATACTTTTACTTCGTTTATCGCTTAATTACTTTTATTAATTTTATTAATTATACTAGTGGATAAATTTCTTTACTCGTCGAGATCTAAAAGCAAATATATAAAAATAAAGAAAGTTGCATAAGATATTTAAGGGTTCAAAAAGGAAATAACACGATTTTGTGGAAGGACATTTTGCAGAGGATAAACAATATTTATTTTTACATTACCACCGTCATATTTGTTTATTCAAATGCTTAAAGTTTTACAACCTAAAATGAGATCCAATTTTTTTTCTATCTGTGTTAATAAATTGTTTCACAAGACCGACGATTTATGGAATCAAAAAAAAAAATTTCCCGAAATTTGAGATTTACGATTGGAATGACAAAATGTTTTTAAATTCAATATTTACATATCATATAATTTTATGTATCATAATATTTAGCCGTGGCAAATTTTGGAGACGATTCAGTCAGTATTTTAACCTTTTTTCAGGCGACTCAGCCGTCGATTAATAGCAAACGATCAATATATTAACTTTTTTACTAGAATAAACTTTCAGAATAAGTTGAATGTAATAAATATTATGGCTTTATTTTTTAATAATAATGTTATATTTTGCATTCAGAATCTCAAAATTTTTGAAAATTCAAAATTCAACTGCAATTTACTAAAAGATAATTTCAAGCTAATAGTGAATTAGCAAATGATGTTATATTGCTTAACTTTATTAAATTTTAGAAATCGACATTGAATAGTTTAAAGTAATGATATGGGCTAAACCTAAACCTTTCGCCCAAAGCCGAAACTTAATAACTTAATCCAAACTAAATTATATCCGAAAATTACTTAATATTAGATTAAAAAAAAAATAATAATTAAAAACTTAGCAACTTGTCAATTTTATCATGAAATAAAACTAACATTAAAATTTCTCCTCAAAAAGTTACACTTTACACATTGCGTAATTTATTTAAAGTGTGTACATTTCTTTGAAAGAATATAACAATAAATACATCGAAATTCAAAGAAAAAATTTTTATTTATCGTAAGAAAAAACGTAGATTTTTCCTTTTATAGTCAATGTCGTATTCTGACTAGCATTACACTGAAACAATGCGCACATGGATATATTTTTTTGTGTTGGAGTATGATTTTAATCGTAATACTGAGGCTAATTCGTCGACATAATTTTTCGAGGTTAACGCTGGTTTAAATTTAACCGGTTTCTACACATAAATATCAAAATTTGTATTATAACCGATAAATTCTCTCATATTCTCGAATAATTAATAATCTGTTTAAATGTTCATATCGAAAATAAATTTCACTCGTTATTTCCCATTTAAAATAAAAATTTTGAATACTTCCTCGATATCTTTAAATTTTAATACCTGAAACACAATCCTAAACTCTGTAAATGAGGCAAAAGTCATATATGAATTCTTTATGATTCTATTACGATAATAAATATAAAATTATAAACAGGAAAAGTTGCAAAGCAACGACTTCTTTTGTAATCTATATTGAAATTACTTGAATATTATTTTGCAGTATGAACGATTACCACTTCTTCTAAAATAGTTTTCCTGAAAAATTTTTTTATATATAACATAGAAAATAGAAAAAAACTATTCCTTTGATTCTAAATTCTACTGGTTGATTTTAAAACAATAACGCCACTCAATCCTTTATTAGAAGCCAATTATTTCTTATATATTCTTTTACGACACTGTATATATACACAATATTAACTTAGAATTATATTATTATGAGTATTAATTTTCATTAAATTGCAAATTATTAATCATGTATTTAAATATGTAACTATAGCTTGACCATTAAAATTTAGCAAGTATAAATAACTTAATTTATTTAGAACCATTAAAATAAATGAAATTTTAAAATTTCTTTGTTAAAGTATAGAAAATAGTTGATATATAATAAAAGTGAAGTTTCTTGCACGGGTTCGTTATTGCAAGACCGTTCGTTTATCGTTCAATATCTTTGTACAAAATAAAACATTAATGAGTATGAACGTAACTAAAATATTTCGAAGCAATTATCATATTTCTTATCTCATATAAAAGTTAATTTATAGATAATGCAGTCAAATAAAAAGTTTATTAAGAAAATTTGTTAAAATGATTTAATATTGTTTTTAATAATAGCTATTCTGTATTATACAGTAAAAATTCGATCTATAAAAAATTTTTTTAAGAAATTTATCTTTCCAATTCCATCAAAAAAGAGATTTCCATAGAGTTTTTTAATTAATTCCATTAATTTATGAAAGATTAACTTGTGATACATGTGCCTCAAATTTCTACCTTAGTTGTATCTTTAATTGGATAACTTTATTTGCTTACTTAGAAGAATTTGAATATCATCAAGTTCTGAACTTAATTACTTTGAATAATATTCCAGTTCTTCAGAATCAGAATTACCATTAATTTCATTAATTTCAATACTTTTCTTTTGTTCCTCCAAAAGTTTCTCTAACATGGGCTTTCTTTTTTTACTAAGTTCTGTTCTAACAGTATCAATTAACTCTTTCAATTCAAGTTCTTTAATTTCTATTTGGAGATACAAATCTTTTATTTTTCCTAATCGACCTTTTAATTTATTAACTTGTTACCGCTTTTCTTCTTGAAGCTTATTAATTAAAACTTTTTTATCTTTTAATTTAATATAAGATTAACAAGATTATCTTGAATTTTTTTTTCTTTTTTACAATAACTTTCTACATTTGATCCTTTTCTTCTTGGATTGTTTTCGCATTCTTTCTAACTTCAACAAGTTTATCTTTTATTTTCTTCTGCTCCTTAAGTTGGTTTGATAGTTTCTTTGATTTCGAATGTATATCAGTGTTTAAACTATCCATTTGTTTTCTCAAATTAGCAGTACTAACTTTACTTCCGTATAATTTATTATTAAAATCTTCTTTAAGTTGATTTAACTCATCTATTTTATTTTTAAGATTGCTAATTGATTTAGAAACTTCATTTAGCTTGCCTTCTAATTCCTCAATCTCATCTTTTTTATCTTCCAGTTTTTGGTTGATCTGTTTTATTTCGCTTTTTAAACTCTTTTTTTCTTTGTCTTTGATAATTAAATTGTTTATTAAAACATTTATTTCATCCTACAATCTTGCTTTATCAGTATATTGATCGGCCGTAAAAGTTGCCAATTTACTTTCCATTTTGTTGATATTTTTCTCATTGCTTTGATAAATGGTATTTATTCGTATCAAGTCGGTCTTTAAACTTTCGACTTGTTGACTCAAAATTTTTACTTCCTGTTCGAGCCGAGATTTTTCCAACTTTATCTCTTCTTGCCTAGCAAGCAGATCCTTTTCTTTCTTTTCCAATTCTACTTGTTGAAATTTCAAATACTCTTTTTCATTTGATACTTGCTCTTCCATTTGAGAATTGATTTGCTTTTGGAGATTTTCTTTATCATTCTTCAAATTTCAGTTCTTTTCACAATTTTCATATAATATACCAAATACACATTGTGCATTTACATCATTATTTTCAGCAGCTTTTTGATACCAATAAATAGCATTTTTTAAATTCTTTTCTATTCCTTTACCATTTTCATATAATTGCCCAAGTTGATATTGTGAATTTATATCTCCATTTTTTGCAGCTTTTTGGAACCAATAAAAAGCCTTTTCTAAATTTTTTTCTGTTCCTTCAGCTTACATTAGTATCATTATTTTCAATAGTTAAATTAAAAGTTTTTTCAATATTAATTTCTGATTTTGTATTTTTTTTATTCCTAAGATTTGATGAAGTATTTACACAAGTTGTTGTTTTAGTTTCTTCATTTTTTTTATTCCAATTTACAATAAGATTTGAAGAAGTATTTACACAAGTTGTTGTTTCAGTTTCTTCATCTTTTTGATTCCATTTTGTAATGAGATTTGATGAGGTATTTACACAAGTTGCTGCTATACTTGATTGAGTAAATTCATAACTCTGTGGCATGATCATATTATTTTGTTCAGGAGAAGTAATTGATTTAAGAGTTGAAACAACATCTTGTGCATTTGGACGGTCATCCGGTTCATATTTCCAACATTCTAAATAAACAATCAAATAGAAATCAGAATTCATTTTATTAAGTTATATTAAAATAAAAAATAAAAATTACCTTGATATAAGTTACTATATTCAGGAGGCGTCCCATCTATAATTGTTTCTCTTTTTCCTTTTAGTATTCCTATGGTTAACAACATTGTTGTATTATCATTGGCACTATCTTTACTAAATGGCTGATATCCACTTGAAATTTGCCACATCAAAACCCCGATGCTATAAACATCAGATTTTTATTTAATTTGTAATTCTGAATTTCTAAACCTTTTGGATCCACATAGGGGAGCACACCAAATATTTGCGATAAATTTTTTGACTCTTCAGCAGTTTTTTTCGATAAACCAAAGTCTTCTAATTTAATAATATTCTGATGAACAAGTATATTGTTTGCATGCTATAAGTTTATTAAGATAATATATATTATTAAAAAGCATAGTAGATAAAATATACCAAAAACATAAAAAAATTTTCAAAACTCATTTATTACCAGATCACGATGAACAATTTCAAAATCATGTATACATTCTACGGCACTTGCCAGTTGCAAAGCTAGTTGAAATTTGATATTCCAATTCATTTCGTTAGAATATTTATTTAAATAAGCACTTAATGTGCCACTATCGGCATATTCCAAAACCATAGAATATTTTTTCATTGCATCTGCTGTATATGAAACAATATTACTTAAATTTATTTATTAAAAATTTATTAATGCTCATATTATGTTGATAAATTTACCGATTCCTCTACTTGTGATTCCATAAAATCGTAGAATATTTGGATGGAAATCCACTTTTTTATGTAATTTTATCTATAAAGTAATTGAATTCATATAAATCAACTTTGAACTTTTATTAATATTATTTATTTAATAATTTGGAATATATGTACCTCATTTACAAAATTTTCCGAAGTTATCTTATCGACTTTAAAAGATTTCAAAGCAACAACATGATCCGAATGTTTCCAATTAGCACGTATAACATTTCCAAATGAACCACTCCCTATTGATAGGAAATTGTTAAAGTCTGAATATTCATAATAAGTGAAATATTCCTCAGAAATTGACTGTTCTAACCAATCAATTGATTCTTTATTTGACATTTTTCTTTTATTTTTATTTTATTTTATTTTATTTTTTTTACGTAATTAGTCAAGTTTTAAAAATAGTTTGTTTTTCAGAGATTAATTCCTTACGATAAGTAATTTTTTAATTGGGATTAGCGTATTTATTGAAAATTTCCATATTCTGCATATGTTGTGTAACTTTGGATTTTCCCTTAACGTTAATAAATTTGGAAACTAGGAGCAAATATTATTCTGTTACACCAAATAAATATTATACAGTTTCCTTTACGTTAATATGCAGTAACTACACTACATATTACTATACGTTATCCATGCAGTACCATAGTTAAAATATGCATATTAATATTTTAAAGTTTCTGTAAAAAGAGATTATTAAATAAAATAATTAGTTACCATATTTACAGAATTTATTGAATTCTACACGCAGATTATAAAAGTGATGGTGATATTTGGGTAGTTGACAAGAATTCCAGCTTGAAATTCATTAGATAACCGACAACAAATTTTCCTCTTACCAAAGCATTTTTTTCCGTATAAAAAATTTCGAAAGTTACTTGAGAGATAATCAATTGATTGTTTAGATTTTTATTATTATTCGAGATATTCGAGAAAACATCATTTTTCCTTTTGTCTAATTTTTATTTATTAATATTTTTCGGAATCAAACATGATTATAGGAAATGTCCATATTTTATTGAAACATGTAAAGAAGTAATAATAATCATCATTCATTACCTCTTAATTTGAATTTATTATCACACAGAGTTCAACATTAGGACATTTGTAAAGTTAGTTTGTTCAATTAAGCGAACGCACTTTAACGCTTAACAATCGCAGTACATTATCATTAATAAGTAATAATTCACGCTTATTTTTTTTAAAAATAAAAAAAACCTAATATCAAACCTAGAGAAAAATTATTAATTTCTAACTCGTCCTCAATGAAACTTTGTTCGCACCGGTTATTACAGGTTTTTTAATTTTGATTTCATTAAATGAACTATGTCTTTCTTTTGTACGTCACGACATTGATCTCTAATCTTGAACTTTTTGCCAAAGTACTTTTTGAAGAATAAGATATTTTATGTTCTGAAATTAGGTATATTATTTGTTCGTAAGTATTTTTAAAAAAAGGATTGAATATTTTTATAAATTTATATATTTAATAAGTAAACTCTAAATACTTTTAGTTCAAAATTTAATATTATCCTATAATGATTTGTATAAATAAAAACTTATCATTTATTTAAAAAAATAATTATTTTTCGGCATTAATCCTTAAAATTTGAGTTGAATTCGATCGAGTTCGAATCTGTTCCAAGCCCGACTCACTTTGACCTTTAATTAGCTTTATAATCTTCATCATATTATTCATACTTTTCAGCTCAGCTTTCATCTAGTTTATAAAAATATTTTCTATTCAATATTAAGATAAATGTTACACGATTATTTTTGAATAAGAAAAATTCTAGGTTAATTATGATACTGTGTTTGGTATCTGCTTTATAATTAACTAACTGCATTCAAAAAAGTTGCAGCTCCAATTAATCATTACCTTTTACTTTCTTTGATCACGCTAATTCATGTCTTTCTAAATGTTCTGCGGAACAGAGAAATTTTTTTAGTAGTGAAATACTGTTTTAAACCCTTATATATTACATCGTTAAATTATTTATAGAAACTTTGTGGTGTTCTAAATTTATATTTTCTGAAAAATTTTTTTATTATTATTATTTTTTCAATCGCTTGGGTCATTTCGTCAAAGTAAATATTGGGTAGTATATATATATATATATATTTTGTTCTCGATTTATTTTTCGTTTCTTTTTTTTACTTGTTTTTTTTTAGGCAATTAATTGGTTTCTAATGCGTTGATTAAATAATAGAATTGCCAATATGTTTGAGACATATTTTTTTTTTTATTCATATTTATTAATTTTATTTACTTGGGTTGTTGGCGTAGATTTAAAATAGGAGGGTTTATTTTTTTCGATTTTTTTTTATTTTTTATGTTAAGTTTCTCATTTATGATTATATAATAATTCTCGATTAAAAATTTAAAATCTTTGATAAAATATTTTAGGAGACGAGATATAAAATTAAATTAATTGTCAAATGTAACTATTTGGACATTTTATTTTCCGATTTCTGAAATTCAATTCAAATATTGGCTGAAATTAACGAATTCCAATTTTAGACGAAAACCAAACAAAGTATAATTTGTATTTAAATTATATAAACCATTATTTATAAGTTAAGAGGAAGATTATAATTCATTATTTAATAATATAAATAAGATAAAATTGTGTAAAATACTCTTCTCACTAAAACAATTAAAATGAGACCAAGAGTTAAAAAGAATAATAAATCAAATATGTATAAAACATATATAAGTAACAAAAACAAAAGAAATGAAACTATCAGACATGAATAAATAAAAGTATAGGGTATATTATCATCATATCTTTGATGTTGCTATAAAAAAGATAAAGAATAGAATTAGCATTTCTTTCGAATTGATATAATTCAAAATATGACAGCAAATACTTACACGGCTTGGATCAATTTTATTTCTGTGTAAGTTAATATAAAATGTAAAATCAAGATAAATTAAGTTTAAATTTAAATCATTATGGAATTAATAATGAACAAAGAAACACTTACATTAAATTATCGACCTTAAAAACTTCATAATCTTCAATAAATAATTCTTGTTGAGAATTTACAAAGGGTTTTGCTTCAGGATATGAATTAAAACCTTCACTTATAATGACGTTATTTTTAATTGCTAAATCTCGATTACCAAAAACAGGACCATAGCTATTATTGGTTGAATCGGACTTTTTGGGTAAACATCTTGCAATGATACCCGAATTCGACCTGAAATCGTCTATATTTGCAAAAGAAAACAAAAAACTATCTTTAGAAGTTGCAGAAAATTTCCAACTTTCAGGATTATATCCTCCAATTAATTCTCCGGTATCAATAGTTTTAGCAATCAATAATGTTGGACCTTGGTCATCACATAATTCATGAAACTTTCTGCTATCAATCCCATCTCTACTAGATCTGTATATTAATTTAAATGAATAAGGCATAGTTCTATTATCATAATAATCAGTTTCCTTCTTATCAATCCAATTGGAAATCTTAGCAAAATGCCATTTGTGAATAATTACTGGATCAAAGGATTGTTTCCTAGGACTTATTAGAACCGACGAATTTGGTATTATCCTTGGATTATTATAAAAATTAATTATATCATCAAAAAGAGCCTCTGGAAGAATCATTTTATAAAGCTGTCTGTTATTATGAAACAACGCCGAAGGAATTTGAAACCATCTAATTAGCGGAAGAAGCTCTTGAAGAATTTCCCGCATCTTGTTATAATCATTTGTAGTCCAATTTGAAATATTATTAATATTAACAGTATTCGACATTTGAGCCATTCCCCACTCCAATAAAAAATCCAAAATGATATATTCTTTTATTACAAGATCGTCTCTTTGAAGAAGGTATTTTAAAATTGGCTTATCCACTGTTAAAAATTTTGGCAATTTAAAAAACATCTCAGAGTTTTCACATATTGAATGCAAACAAACGTCTTTTAGAGAAGTGAATGGATCGTTTAGATGAAATACAATATGCAGAACTTCATACGGATCTTCTTTTATAAAAGATTTACTTTCAAAATCGTAATATTTTATAATACGATCGCTTATTCTGAAATCTAATTCGTCTGTTGCTATTAGAAGGTTCAATACTTTTAATCCACTGAGATTATCTAAATCAATAATTCCAGTATAGATATACCTTTTTTTTCGCATTAAAGAGAAAAGTAGAGAATTGATTGAATATTTATTTATTTGAATAGGAAAAGAAAAAGTTATATTAACTTACTTCAATAATATCTCCATGACGTCGGGATTTATATTCGGTTTTTTAAAAATAATCTTTCCGTTTACTTTATGCGCCCAACCGTTTGATAACGCGGTTTTAAAATAGGTCGATCTAAGGGTTAAGATCAAGGAGTGCGCATGAAATTGTTTTATATTTACGTTCTCCCCAGCTTCAATAATTACATCGTAATTATCTCCGCTAGAACGTAATTTTTCAAAATCTTTTAGTAATTCTTCAAAATATCTAATCGACATTTTTTTTTTTCGTGAGGGTTTAAAGGGATAAATTAATTTAATATCATTATATAATAAAAATCCTGCATCATCATGTACGGCTCCCAAATGCATGCACATCGTTGATTGTGCTATTGCATTACTGTTATCCATATATACCAATTCGAGAAATTATCGATTTTTTTTTTTATTTTTATTTTTTTATTTTTGAAATTAATTAAGAATGATTTCTTATTTTGGGGAACAAGTATTTCAAGTATTTCATCTGACATGTGAATTCTCTTCAATATAACGAAATTTTGTTATATCGAGAAAAATAAATATGACTCATGAAATTGTCGTTACAATTTAAGACTACGCCATCGTAAACATATGATAAGTTAGAACCAAAAAATCGTTTTTAATTGGTTAATATTCGGAATTAATTTCGGAATTATTTACTTAGATTATATTACTAAACCTTTCTTTCTGAAAATAAATATATATTTTTGAATTAAGCATGTAAAGAAATTGTAAGTAAAACCTCTCTTCTTATTGTTAATTCCCATTGCAACAAGTTCTGAGAGGTTCGTTAAAAAAAAATACCATTCATTAAAGGCATTGCTGCTATCACAATTGTATTTTAAATATATTAAAGTTGCGAAATAAATTTTCACTATCAAAGAAATAAGTGTAATTATTGCCTTTGACTAAATCGTTGACTAAAGTTATTTTGTTTAAGACGTGAAAATTAATTAATGATAATACTTTACCGTTCGTAAATAACATGTAATGTTAATTATGCCTAAAGAAAAAATTAATATCAAACTGTTAACATGGTTAATTGATGTTTTGGGTTCTAACGTCACTTATTTTTTTTCATAAAATTAACAGTTGACGGAACGGATAATAAGCCATCCATTTTGAAATTGTCTTTTTCTTTTTTTTGCTAATTGAATCACGAGACATATGCAATAAATCATGTGATCCCGAGCGTAAAAAATCATAAAGTCACTTTAAAATGATCGACATAAATAAAGCAACTCATTTACATTCAGATATTTATTACAAGAACATATGTCAATAATTTATAAATATCAAAACTAGGAATGCATTTTTGTTAAATGAAAAAAAGAAATGATTAATTTTACCATGTCCCTAAAGTAATAGTTTATTTGGGTGGTGAGACTCTTTGATCGATAAGAGTCTAGGAATTCTTAGATAGTATTCCCATAATCTAATATAATCTTTATTAATAAGTGTACAAATTAAATTCGAATCGGCTCCAAACAAGGATAAAAAGGATAAAATCAAACGACTTCTTTTCAATTCGCTTTTAGAGACGAAGGTTAAAGAGAATTGCCGAAAGGAAATCCTGATGAGCAAAAGGTTGTGATTTCTGTTTTTTTTTTTTTTTTTTTTTTTTTTTTAAATTTAAACAAATTTATTGAAATTGACTTTTTTTCCTTTCATGCGCTTTCGGAGGATTTATTCATTTTCTCGGCCTGTCAAAACCCATTATTAGTAATTATAATGTTTCAAATATTTAAACGTTTGTTACTAATCTGCGATTGATTTTAAACAGCGTTACTTCCAATGGACAAGGTATGGCTTTAAATAAGATAAAGACCATGAGTGGACGATTTCCACCCCAATTTTTGAGCGGGATTCTTGACCATACCAAAGTTTGTTACACAATGACAATTGACGGATTTTATAATCCGAAATTTTAAATATATAAAGTAAACGATAAATTTCTCGACCATCCAAAATTTACTTTCTAAAAATTAACATGGAACAATCAAATGGTTTTAATGACTATTTAATAACTAATGACACACCTTTAAGTCAATCTACACCACCTAAATTAAAGTATAAGAAATGCAATGAGTGCAAACGAATAAGAAAACCCTCTGATAAAATTCATCAGATTTGTCGTGTTTGCTATAAAGCAAAAACAATACTCATATTAAGCGGTAATAAAGTTATTGATGATTTTGTGAGATATACACATACTAATTATATTAAAGATTTTGGAAGAATGGAATTTATTCCATATGATAGATTCAAAGACTTGGAATTTATTGGCGAAGGAGGATTTAGCAAAGTTTATAAAGCAACTATGATTGAGAATAGTATTTATGATACTGTTGCTCTCAAGAATCTTAACAATTCTAAAAACATCAGTACTAAAGAGTTAAATGAGGTACGTATTTAATTTTTATTTTTGATCATAAATATAAAATTAAGTTAAATAATTTTATAAATTTTTTATTTTAGCTTAAATTGTATTATGAAATGTCTATAAAACGAAAATGCAGTTATGGAAAACAATATATTAATGAATATTATGGAATTACCCAAGATCCCATTACACAAGATTTTATGATAATTATGCCATATTATAAATCG